AGCTAACATTGAGTAATTAATTTCAATATCTATCCAGAAGGACGTACAACATTGTTAACTATCCAGGTTTCGCTTTCCGTCAAGCTAGTGTCACGTTGTTTTGTCTGTTGATCGCCACTGCTTACTTCAAACACAGTGTCCCATAATACTCACGGCGGCCGAGAGCAGGTTTGCCGATTTCAGCCAGGGCTTCGTCAAGCTCTGTAAGCGGTAGACTGCCCTTTCCCTCGCTGTCAAGCCACTGCTCGAGATCCAGCGCGCACCGCCCTGTGTACCGAGCGCGATGGGGATGCATCTCGGGCTCTGACTGTCGACGCTCGTACAGAACAGTCAACAATTTCTTGCAATCTGTTTTGGAAAGTGTAATGTTAATGTAGGTAGGTTTACAGGTTGACCAACATTATCCCCTTTTACAGAAAGAACTGCCACGGGGACTATTTTAAACGGAATCAGGTAATCGAGATGGAAGAAAGTTTTGGAGGACTATATACAAAGTCGAGTGCCTTACCCTTGACCCTAAATTTTGAAAAATTTCTGGGGTTGTGAATTTAAATGGAAAGGTAAGCTCGCGTATTCTGGTGCACAGACATTCTGAACGACAGTAGGCTTAATGCCGAAAATTAACGAAAAATGCGTTCCAAAAACAGTTTCGAACATTAACAGAAGTTCTTCCTCTTTTGATCACGCGTATCGGGCAGCTGTCGAATCTCGGCCTAGGCCTACATGTTCGCTCAAAAAGTCAGAATAGTTTGAGAGACAAGTAGTTCATAACACTCTGCTTGGTGGCGCTGTGACTCTGAGACAGGGACCAATAAACGTCGACCAACTGACCTCGGTCGGAGAGTTCACTCGATAAGATGTTTAGTTCACTGTCATTTATAACATTGGCCGAGCACATCGTACACCCGATGATTCCAATACATGCTAGAAGCAATCCTAGAAGGCGTTCCATCGGTTCAACTGGTCTCGTCAACGAATTTCACACTAGTAATTCGCAATGATGGAAGTGAATGCGAAGTTTAAATGTGTTTCAACATGGCGCTGGTGTTGCCGTCCGCCAAACGTAGTGACGCCTATGCCTTCGAGTGTAGGTGTAATGTTGTTCACGCAATGACCTCCGACTCGTTTTGAACGGTTAGCTAGCACTGCTGAGCGTGACTTCGGCCGCTGAGCGTTTGAATTATATCACAGCGCGTCGAGTCGAATCCTAACGCGCGCGTTGCGGAGCACAAAAATGCTTGGCTTTGGCTTTGTTGAACACTGTAAGGGCCATGTCATTATAAAATGATTCCGAGAAGGTGAATTATCGTGCCACCTCAACGATATCGGCACCTTAACCCCAACCGCATGCTCGGGAAATATGTGCAGGAATTGCAGCATGTTGTTTTTGTTTGGTTTCACTTTTAGTTTTGTTTTGTCTGGGTTTTTGCTTTGCTTTTGTTTTCGTTGTTTGGTGATTTACATTAGCTCGCATATTTTGTTCAGGCTCTTCATTCGGTAATCTTGTGGCTACGAGCAGAACTAAAAGGCCTTTGTCCAGTTTTGAAAATACTTTGGTCTCTTTGGTGTTTAAAGCCGACTGAATAGAGAAATAAGAAATTAAACCTCTTCCATTCACAGACTTTTGCAGGGTCAAGAAAAGTCTTTTGCTGAGAATAAATGCTTTTTTTTCTGGAAGACCATTCTGTGTATTATGTGGCAGATAATTCCATTTTAAGCAAGGGACCTTGGATAATAGTCCATACACTGTGGAAGACCTTACCATTTGTTGAATTTTTTCCCTTAATGCGTATCGCAGTCCACCTCATTTTTTTACACTTCATTCTAATTTCTTATTGAATTATTAAACTTGGTTAGCTCTGTCCTTCCGTTTACTTTACAGCATTGATGTGATTGCATCCGTACTTTATGCGGTGCTCATTCCAAGCCTATACGCTCTTAATGTGCGATTTTTTACGAGTCCGGGGGGATGATACTGAAAACTCGTTAAGCAGAAGCGTACCCAATATGCCTGTGCGAAAGAATCAACAGACCAGTGCTTCAGACCAATTGTTTACATCATATTGGCAATCATTACTCTACTTTCTGAAATCAGAAATAAGAGTTCTCCCCAAATAGCGACGTATCGTTAACCTTCTGACCTCTTCACTCATACCTGCCACTGTTTTCGATGATTCGCTGGTAGTACTTAAACACTTGACCGTTGGCTCCTGCCATTGATTTCTTCTGTATTGCCGACAAGTAGATAATCGACCAACGGATCTTTCGTTTCTATTGTAGGGCAGGTTTACCCTACTTTAATGGGTGAACGCAGTCTGCTCTTGACATGACAACTCTCAAGGTAGAATGCATTTTGTGGAGGTATAGCCTACGTCATGGTAAATGCGCCAGGAAAGATGCGTCTTTCCAATGAATTTCTTTCTACAAATATGGCACAGTGATGTATCCAGAGAGGCCAACCTGCCCCCCCCCCGGAATTGTTGTGGTTTTAACAAAAACATGCTCCATAGGTAATCAATTGTTATATTTATGTGTCAATTATTAGCACCAAACTTTTAGAAAACAACACCATGAATAAAAGCAAGGATGTCAGGACCGCGAGTAAGGCTTTTAATATATTTTCTTCCCCAGCATGATGTTGAATGAGCCCGAAGCCGCATAAAGTAATATTAAGTTCAAATGCTTTAAAGGAAACATGAAGTGGATTGTTAGCTTCATTTCATGTATATTACTATTTGTTATAACGATACCATGTTCTCTAACAAGGTACTCCTTGTCCACTGAGCTTTAGTACAACACAAAATCAATTTTTACTTTATGCACTTATATGTAGATTTATATTACAATAATTCATAAAACACCTTCATAAGACAAATAAGGCACAGTTACAACACCGGAGATACTGCTCAAGCTTGCTACGGCGTTTGTAAACCCATGAATTAAAATCCAACTCCACGGGAGCTAGGTTGGCGTAGTGGCTCTTTGATCGCCTTCCACTTCTGCGGTCCGGGCTCGAATCTTGGCCCTGTTCACATGTGAGTGGGGATTCAGTCCCTACCTGATTCCGTGGGTTTTACCAAGAATATTTTTGGGGGGTTTCCTCACTGTAACTGCCTCTCATTGTCTCCTCTGTACAGGCTTCTTCAGGCTTGCGAGCTAGCTACAGTGCCTAGAGTGGTTTTTAGGAATCCTTGGTGTCATTACCAGAAATAATAATAATGAACTCAGCGTACAAACTCAACCTGAAATAAAGGAAATTTTGCTCATACAAGTGACTGCAGTTATTGCCGGTGAGCGTTTGCTTAATATGTCATGTGAGAGCAACAACAGGCCGTCTTCAGCCATGTTCGGAACTGGTTTTGATGTCTGCGGGTACAACATATCAGTGAGGCCCAATCAGGACATAAACCAAAGTCCGAGACATAATATACCTGAATCGTTCAGGTTATTATACAAGACGTCCAACAGATTAGCAGGTCTTAAACGCTGTCAAAATGGGTGGCTTGTAACCGATTACATCACTGTTTCTGAATCCAAAAGTATCATTTTCATATGTTGAAGTCCATGATTTCAACCCCAGATAAAAGTTAATGACTATGTACCCTCGTAACTATGCATTGCCTTGCAACCAAAGGTTAATGTACTGAGTCAATAGCAGCCATTACTCGGTGAAGTGAAACAACATAACCCCTTGGGGGTCACACTCGTACGTCGTTTTTTACAGACTCTGACGCGATCGACAACAAACTGTTATTAACAATGAAACAAAGTGTAATCGACATCATGTTAGTCCCTGCAGCCATTTTCTGTATATTGGCAGCTGCACAATTGCATGCACAGAATGGTAAGTCCTTTTTTTAATTAGGTTAAGTTTGCTCTGTGACAATTTGATGCTTTCCCACCGCAAATAACTTTTATTCGTATTTCTTTCGTCCAATATCACACCTCCAAAAGAATAAGTTGTTCTGATGTCTTGAACCTCTGCACACCTTATTCCAAGTCCTATTATATAGGCCAAGACGAAACCTGTGATCGTTGGATGTAGACAGCAGAATAATCAGTCATGTTCTGTCCCTTTTTCATTCACAATGTGTATAACAACTTGACAACACTCTAAAAACTGTGTTGCGTAATTTTGATTTAAATCATATTATCGCTTTGTAGGTATGTTTAAATGGTTGACATTTGGTTTCCAATCGCTAAACACGATGCCCGTTGGCTAAACACTATACATCGAAAGTCTGAAAATATTTGAACCATGGCAACAAGGAATGCTACGTGATAAGCAAGTTTTGCAGTACACTGGTTTCTATTCATAACAAAGGCACGCAAAACTTTAATTGTTCATAAAAATGTTGAAATAGCCACCACTTTTTTTTTTCAAGTGGAGTGGGGTGCAGACGTCTTTCCTAAACAATTGCCCTTTTTATCTATGAAAATTCTCCGAATGTAGGTTTCTAAAGGGCTGGCGTTTTGAATTACTAAATAGGCACCCTGTACCCATGTAAACAGGTTGACCCCCACCCCCAACAAGTTGAGTAAACTTTTCTTTCCTCCAATTTCAGATTTTGATGTGCGCATCGTCCCCACGGACCCTCCACCAGACAACGACCGGAAGAGGATCGGGCTAGTGGAGGTGTTCTACGGCGGAAAGTGGGGCACAATTTGCGCCGAAGGGTGGGGATTCAACGAGGTTGCTGTCGCCTGTCGCAAGGCCCTGGTCGACTACTCCTTCGTGCTGCACAAAGGATGGGAACACGACGCCGGCAATGTGTCCGCAACTGTGTGGCTCCAAAATGTGACGTGTACAGGGCACGAGAGAAACTTAGACGAGTGCCAGAGCGACAATAAGTGGATGCCACACAGCTGTCCCTCTGGAAAAGCGGCTGGCGCTGCTTGCTACGAAATCTGTACGTACTTTTCGGTCCATTTACTTTTTAGTGAAATTATCAAGAGATCTGTATCATTTATATTCTTTCAAGGATGGCAAACAGACCTCAAGCTATTGTATACTAATAACTACACATAACGCAGAAAGAAAAGATGCACCTTGCATCAAGGATGTATGCGTCAAATAAAAACATTCAGAGACATATATACATATATATTTATAACTGCAAAAAAATAAAAATTTTAGGTGCACAACCCTAATATTTTAGTGCCACCGTTTCATCTCATCTCAAAGTCCCAGTGGCCCACTTTCTGCAGTGTGTTTGAACGAAAATAAGGGGGTAAATGTATATTTTCGCAAAATTACTTTTCAGGAATATTAGTATTTTGAACCATGATCAAAGTCTCTGAGCATTTTCAATTGAAGTACACATTATAAATATTAAGTTCAGTTTGTCTGACCTCATAAAGAAAAAATTGGTAAACTATTTAAAAAAAAACGAAAAATTGAGGAAAACTTTTTTTCTTACGAGTGTATACAAATCTTCTGCCTCCAATTGTACAAGCATTTCATTTTGAGCTAAAGTCACATAGCTGAGCGAGGTCCACGCGCCGTATATCGCAATGTAGGACGGGTTACATACCATACTGCCATTGCAATGTAGTAAGGTTGCATATCTACTGACGTCTGTGTTTGTGTCAGTGAGGGCCCATAAATGGGTAGGAAACATTTATAATTGATATTAGATATTAGACTGCATTCATGTGTTGACCATCGTGAACTAACGGGGAGGTTAACTCTTAATTTTATAAAAAATCAAGAGTTGACCTTTACAGAGTTATTAAAGCAACGTAAGCAACGGACTAAAGTTTATCATACAAATCTATATCTGTTTACGTTTAGATTAATTAAAATGTTTGATAAACTATCTCGAAATGTTTTCAGGGCATACTTTAAAAAACGAAAATGAGGCTTACGACAGCAAAATAGTCTCGCACAACGCCAAACACAGATTACACTGAATATGGCAGATTCAGGATGTTTGATGTCAATTTCAAAGAAAAGGAATGTTCTTGATGAGATGGCAGTTTGCTTTGGGTAATCTGAGACTGGCAAAAATCAGTTTTATTAATATTATTATTATACTGGTTTATTCAAATACTGGGTAGGCAGCAAGAAAGCCACTGAAAGGGCCAGACTGGAATAAAAGATGCTCAAAATAATTTCAATGTCTACAATTCAAAATGAATTAGAAAGAATGTTAAAATCAACTCTTACATGATACACCAAATCGTAAAAACTGACAGCACGAAATTAAAGCAAAAATTACAAAAGTTTGGACAGAGAAGGAATGGTGGAGTTGAAAGAAAAGAACAGAAAGGGGGGAAAGTTAATGGTACTGACTTGCCCTGGTGTCAACTTCGAATTAACCGGCCAGCCCCAGCCAGCAAATTGGTGATCATGTAAATACAAATATCGACTCTTCTTACACGAGATGTCATGGGTTTGAGTCCCTTCCCGTGGAACTTCCACACTAAAGTTGCTAACTTGCTGCTTTGTTCTCCGTAATGATGCAGCCACCATTTCTGGGAGTCAGTCCCTGTCTCCCTTCATGGCAGACAGCCTGGGCAACAGGTATACGGCGTTCGAGGGCAACGCCTACCTGTCGGTGGAGACTGGCGTCCAAATGTACCTCGCCCTGTGCAGCGTGCGCTGGACAGACGAGGACGCCGCGGTGTTCTGTCGCCAGATGAGCAACCGCCGGCGCTACAGGACCTACACTAAGTCGTTCTTCGGTGCGCACAGCTCCACCATTGCCGACGTTTCTGTGGCGCCTTTTCCTGTGGATTTCGTCTGCGACGGCACGGAGGCGGCTCTACTGGACTGCCCCGCCCAGGCCTCAAATAAAAATGGAATTTGCTATGAGGGAAACGATGCCGGGGCGGCCTGTTTATTCAGAGAAGGTACAAACCGTACAAATGCGTGCTTTGTTCCCGGTGCATACTGTGTGATAAAGCATAGTTTATTAGTGTCCATTTCAGGTTGATCCTAGTTTCCATCTATTTGTAACAAACGCCAACTTTATGAAAAAGCTCAAGAAGACAGTCAAGAAAAAGACGGCGTGTGGTGTCATACGACCAGAGCTTTCGCAAAAAATGCTTTTATAGTGGTTATTCTATTGCCTGTGGTCAAACCGGCACTTTAATTTGTATACCCAGCCAGAAATGAGACCGAGGGGTACCCCCCCCCAACATGTCCAATCCCTATACACATTCCGGACTATTGTTACTTAACACATCCCCCAAGATGTCTGAAAGGATTTCCCCCGATTCCTGCGAGACCATGACCAACACAAAGCAGGGGGGGGTTCTCTGCGTCTCATACCTTGCTGCCTATGTTAATTTGACGTATTTCATTTGTAATCAGTCAGTTCTTTTTTGATAACCGGGTTTAAGGAGAAAGTGGCAACCATAACGCCGTGGAAACGAAAAAATTACACAATATTCTGTAGATTGCTTATCAGGAGCCCTTGTCCCTATTAAATCTAGTCTGTCCTTTTGCAGACCCCTGGAAGTTGTTTCAAGTTTCAAAACTCCCCCCCCCCCATTAACAAAAAACGGTAGATCTCATGTCAGTGGTTCATTTACTCGAAGACTGCGTTTGGTGTTTTGCGTCGTTACTTTTTTTCTGTGCAGAACCGGCGAATTTTACAGTTCGGCTGGTTGGTGGTTCTGACATCAACGCCGGTCGAGTAGAAGTCGAATACCAAGGCACCTGGGGTAGCGTGGGCTCTGTGAGCGGTGGTGACCGCGATCTGAATTATGGGGACGTTGTCTGTCGGATGCTGGATATGGGATACGCCACCGATGTCAGCCCTCACCAGGACGACTTCGGGCAGAGCGACAAGCCGGTGGTGGTAACCGGCGTGGACTGCACAGGTGCGGAGCCTTCCCTGGCCCAATGCGGGGAATACCTGGAGTTCGTGAACGACAAATTGAGTAACATGACTAGAGACGACACAGTGGTCTACTGCTCTGGTCAGGTCGATAAAAGTAGGTATTAGACTTGACACTGCGGATTTCTGAGAATGAATGTGGAGGACTGGACCCCCCCCAAAAAAAAATAAAAGAAATTTATTTAGTTTGTATCCTCGCCTTTGTACATTTCTGCCATCTAAAAGCATAGTTAACTTCGTTTTCCTTAGTTAGCAGATGTAAATTGCTCACGCACCTTAAGCTCTTGGGTATGAAACTTAGAATAAATTCAGTATTCTTTGTTTCTCCTCTCGATGAGGAAAAGATAGATCGTACGTTCTGACAGTGACCAGATTTGGCTATTTTGATTTTCGACTGCAGAAATATTAGTGTCCAAAATGGAGAGTAATTGCTTTCCTCAAAGAATAAGGCTGAAAATTAATTTGTGAAAACTTTGAATGTGCTTATTGGCTATTCCGACACGAGAAAACACCATTCGTCCTCCATAAACAGGGTTCCGTCCACAACGGATGGACGGTAGCAACACACCGCAGCTACTCGTCTGTGGGAATTGGTCACTTAATCTGACTATATACCCCCTACCGCTGTTCATGAGCCAACACTTTTGCACTTTTTAATGCCAACATTAGAAAGTTGTGTCTCACCTATAAGCCAGTAATTTTGCTCTAAAGGTCTCATTGATAAACAACAGTCGGATCAGGTAATTAAGTTTTAATGTGGCTACAGCTACTGGAATGCATTCCATAGGTTCCAGTGTTGCAGTCGCCCGTATCCATAACTTTCGCTATTATAGGTTCTAAGCCTTAGGTAAGCCTACTCAACGATTGTAAACAAGCAGTAGCTAAATTAAGCCTAGCAAACGTTTATACACTTCCCTAATCATGATTTGTGGGATGTCTTTGGATGTGATAACCCATAAATTATACAAAGTGCCTTCTAAATACAAACCCCCCGAACGACATAAAACGGCAGTCAAAACTATTTTATATAGAAACCTTCCTTTGCCCCAGCAACAGCAAGGCAATAGTTAGTAGTCCTTCAATAGCAACACGGTATTTTCTGAGTGTTACAGCAACATTGTTTAATAGCACCAAATGTTCCCGTTGCGAATTCGCAAAACTTGGATAAACGTTACTTCAACCAAGGTGAAATTTGCTGCAAACATTTCGTAACGTCAAATTCGTTTCGCCATTCACTGGACTGGAAGGGTGAACCGACCTTTATTTACGCGTCTATATATTTCTCATTTCTCTATTCCACAGACACCAGGCCAGTCAAGTTGAATAAACAGAAATTAACGCCCGATTTTGCAGGTATGTAATTAAAACGACTTTCAGTAAATTGTATAAGCCAATACCCAATCATTCCTTTTTTCAGTTGCATACGCAGAACAGAATCGAATCAAATCGAATTGAATTACATGTGAATCACATCCTGTGAATGCACCCCTCTCCCGTTCAAAACTTCATAAGATTCTACTGCCCTCTCTTGTCAGCAACGGGATACCTCGTGCAGTTTAATGACGGTCGATGGGAATCGCAGTGCACGGCTGAATGGAGTCTTGAGAACACCCGGGTTGCATGTCGAGAACTGGGTTACAGTCCCCCTCGTCGAGCCACGGTATGTAAAAGTCTCAGTCCAATTTTTTGGGACCTGCGCTCGGCAGAGTTCTTTCTTGTACAGTCGCTCATTTCAAGACCCTGTCCAGGTGTGCGGTCCAGAGGTGAATCAGACGTTTCACAATAGTGCACTTCCAAGAGGTTGCAACGCGTTGGCCAATCACAATGCGCGTTTGGCAGATTTTGCGCGTTGTGATTGGACAGCATGTTGCAAACTCTTGGAGGTGCAGTGTTGTGAATCGGTCGTATTGCTGCATGGGTGTTTCGGGGTCAACATTCCCACCTCCGTTTAGGACTTCCATAAGGAACGTACCGGTATACTATGATGGCAGGAAGCTAGCCACAGGGCTGCAAGCGAGCAAATTAGCAATAATGGACAATTATAAGTACCACCCTCCATAAAATCAGGAAATTTATCAAAATTATCCGAAGACCGAGACACATTATATAAACGAGTCCCTGCATCTTACATGTTCTCTTCAACTAAGGGTAGGTTAAACGATCATTTATAGAAACATTACCTCCCCAGGATGATCATCCCTATAGAAATCGTCATTTTAGAACGGCAACTTTCTGTTGCAAATAGAGCCATGTTTGTCTGTATTCATTCATATGCAAGCTGACAGTCCAGTCGGTAGCTTTCACCCTTGTTTTACAATCCCTTCAGTTCAAGCGCAATACAATGCTGTCAGCAAAGAAGTCGACGGCATGCAAAAGCGAGATTCTGTCCAGCCTGTCCATTGCAGGCCTGTGAGCCCGAGCTGAACCAAGGTCGGAACTGCACTTAGCTGGTTTACGAACGAATATGAAATGCACACCGTTACGGTTGCATCGCTACCAGCAAAATGAGCACTCCCGACCAACTTTGCTCGATGTTCTGCTCAAGGCGAATTACTGGTTTTTGCAATCCCGAACGTTCTCAGCATCTTTATTACGGTTTCTGAAAGACACTTGCAGCCGCTAGTATCAGCCCATGGATGATGGTGGCTGTTACTTACAAAGCTGGACTGACTTTGGTGGGTTCTGTCCCTTGGAACCTAGATCGCCCATGGCATCTTTGGGCTTAAGGAACACCTGTTAATTTTTCCCTTTATCCACAGGAGGTTACCGATGACATCAGCCCCAATGGGCCAATGTCTCTCTACATATACAGATGTAAGGGAAGTGAAGACAGACTCGACCAGTGCAAAAGGGAAATACGGAGGGCCCAAAATTGCATACACAAAATCATGGATGTCTACATTGGCTGCACTCACGACTTTGGTAAGTTCTGTTAACTATTCCCTCAAATGCATCCGACAGCTCCAATCACGGGTAATCAGTTAGCTGAGGACACACCCTAATTTATTATTCAAAGTTCTCATAGTTTTCGGTTGATGCCTTTTGAAATCGCTATCCAAAGTGGCCACTGTCAGACTACCACAAAAATGGCTGACCGGTTTCTTGGATGGTAGAAAAGGAGGAAAGGCTCAGTATTTTCTTGTAGTGTTACAACAAAAAACATGAAGCATGGTGGAAGATAAAGCATTTCGTAGAGGCATTTAGCCTGGTTTGTGGTTACTTTGACACAGTTGCAAACCAGACTTCCACCTTTGAGCATCATTTACAATCGGAGATCAAATCTGCGATATAAGACGCTACAGCAATTCACGATTTGAAACAGACAAATACGACGTGCGCATCAATCCGAAGCTGGGTTCCCACGCCAGCGGGCCCGTCGAGATTTTCTACGACGGGGAGTGGGGCTCCATCTGCATAGACAAGTGGGACGTCCAAGATGCCTTCGTAGCCTGCCGCCAGCTTAGCTTCCACTGGGTGGAGGAACGTGGCTGGGAGCACGATTTGGGATCCTTGACAGGCAAGAAGTGGCTCAATGAGGTGGAGTGTGTCGGCACTGAGACCTCCTTGGACACCTGCCCAGGAGCCTCTGGCGAGTTCTACCATCACAGCTGCAGCACAACTGCCTCCGTGGAATGTGGCTGGATAAGTAAGTCTCCATTTTGTTAACAAATCTTGGAGTGCATTCGACAAACACAGGATTTAAGTAAATGTATACGCACCAGTAGTTCTAACTTCTAAATTCTTCGGTGATCAAAATGAGTCTTTACAAGCCTTTATAATCATGCCTGGATCCTTAAGAAAGTATCAGTTTTTGAAAAGCCTATATTTTTTTCCTCCCCATCAGTAAATAGACTCCCGGTTCATCGCAGTGGTAAGCCTTGACACTTCAGTTTTGATCATTTGTCCATTTTTAACATGAATCAGGCTTCGAATATTTTGCATCTGAAGTCTTCCCTCTTGAACAGGGTCAGAATGTACATTCATATCTTTGTGGGAGAGCTAGAGCCGCACTCATGAAAACAGTGCGTCACATGTTACCTCTGAATGTGCTCACTGATGCCGCTGAAGCAGTCGAGAGCACGCATGCTAGATATACACAGTTTCTTCTGAGTAGCTGCACCAAGCTAGGAGAGAACATAATTTTCAAGACTGCAAACCCGATAAGAATGGGGCCAATGAAATGGTCCTGTATAATTAAAGGACGTGTAGCCTGGCAGTATCCAGGAATAACTGGGCGCTTTTTGACATCACAGACGTGTGCGCAAGCTCTTTGTACTTTTGTCTTAAAGGCGGCTACACTGAAGCCAGGGCTCTCCTCCTAGACGGTCTGGGTGATGAAAACATCGCCTTCGAAGGGACGGCCTACCTCCAGATCAGCCCCGCCGAGCGCGTAGCGATCTGCGACCACTCATGGAACATGAAGAGCGCCGACGCCTTCTGTCGCCAGCTTGGGAAGCACTCCGCCCTGCGCGTGACCACCGGGTCCTACTACGGTCGCCACCCGGCCTTCAATGGTATTTTCCCCGTGCGCAAGTGGAACATGGCGTTCGAGTGCACGGGCCAGGAATCCTCACTCATTGACTGCGTGACTCACGTCAAGCCACAGAGTGAATGTCCAGACGGCCGAGACGCAGGTGTTGTGTGCCTCGAGCGAGAGGGTAGGTTGCAGATTTTGAAATAAAAACAAATTAAAACTTTGGAACGCTGTAAGTAGATCGTTTCACCGGAAATACAACCTGTTTTGGTGTGAGATGCCTTCCATTCCCCTGTAATACCATCTTTCCACTTCATATAGCATCTCTTTTCCACTGGAAAACCTCAAGTTCCCCGACACAAAAGCCTTTTCCCAATGGGAAGAACTTTTCCCATCTGAATACCACTAGTTTCTTCGGAGCACCATCACCTTCTCTGCGCACACCATACAAGGCTCACAATTGGACACCACCACCTGTTCCCCCGAAAATAACACCAGTCCCAATCGGGATGTCCCCCTTCACAGTCTCCCAATACCAGTTGTTCTCCGGTAAAAACAAACGTGCCATCTAGTACCCTTGCAAAATCAACCTTTCCACTATAAACTCCAATTTTCCTTGGGAATAAACCTACATTTCCAGTGGGAATAATACCTCCTGCTCCACTGGAAAAAGTAACGTTCCATCCATTAATAAGGAACAGCTGGTCACGAAGCTTACATCCTGCTTGTTTCGACTAGAAATTCACCTTACTCTTGAAATGAACATCCGTAACTGAATAGGAAGGTTTTAAATGTAGATATACTCCCTAGTATCTGTATTTAATACCGTTCTGTGAGGCTCGCAATTTAATACGTGCTCTAATGTCTTCCTCAAATTAAAAAATTTACAGAAAGCAAGGTTTCACGAATATCAATCATTCTTCAAAAGGAAATTCTTCAGCAATACATTGAAATCTGAGTTGAGATCGATTGATGATTTTTAGTTCCATAAACCCTTTTTACGTGTATAATTTTCACATAGTTTACGCCAAGTAGAGTGCTATATTTAGAGCGAGAAAATATTTCACAAGCTATGAATACTTAGGTAATACGTGTACTGGAACCAACAACACCTTGCTGGCAAGTCGCTATTGTACAAATATAACATGGTATAAGGGTGCATAATGTTTTGTTTTTCTTTATAAGATTTTTGAATATCAATATTCAGTTTGGCATCTCTGTTTCATTGCTTGTTGAATCTGCAAACAGCCCCTCAAGGTTTTGCGATCAAGCTAGTGGGTGGAGCAACAGCGTCCGAAGGCCGGGTGGAGGTTTGCTACGGGGGCACGTGTGGGAGTCTGGGCAAGGACGTCAACCTGGAAAACCTGGCCAGTTTTGGGGACGTGGTCTGCCGGGAGCTGAACCAAGGGTACGCCGTTGAGGTGACCAGCGACGGCCGGTTCGGCCCTGGCCAGAACCTAATCAAGATGAACAAAATCTGGTGCGCCGGCTCCGAAGAGTCGCTAGCTCAGTGTGGGCCGCACATCCAATGGCTGAACAGCACAGACCCCGCATTAAAGGATGAACACACCGGTGTGAGATGCTCGGGACCGATCGCGGGTAGGTACTTGAGTCCTGGCTTAACTGCGTATAGACGCCAAGCAGGAGCTCTGCAAATTAATTTGCAGAACATCAACCGAGGGCTGGTCAAATCCGGATGGCATTCCACGGAGTTGCTCTAGACAGAGCTGTGCTAACCGGAAAAAGATAAATTTATAGCAAAGTAGTTCACGAACTGTGTGAGTTGTAGCTATGACACACCTAGCACACAGATTTCTCATGCATTATGTATCCTTAAAAATATATTTCCTAATCCGAACTATAAAACAGAAACAAATAAACAAGGAATATACTGACTGCAAAACATTTTGACCATCGTACGTTTTTCACCTAAGCAAATATCTCTGCTTATTGGCTCATTGAAATTGGCCTTTTTGAAAGCCCCACAAATCAGTCTGCCATCATCCTCGTGCACTGGAAAACTGTTTTGGCTCAGTGTTTTCGTGTTGCCTGATGAGTTGGGTCCTCATAAGAAATCGTGTGAATCTGGTCGTTGCAATTCAATATTAAAGAAAGAATGTGAGTTGTATTGCTGCAAATGTGCTCCCTCATCCAGTTGTCCTTATCATCCTGATCTGCAGCTGCAAGGAGTCCGATCCGTTTCTCTCAGCTGAACGAGAGGGGCGGCATCGTTGAAATCTTCCACCAGGGTCGTTTCGGGACAATCTGCAGCAAAGGCTGGACGATGGGGAACGCCCAGGTCGTCTGCAGGGAACTTGGGTTTGGCCCCCCGACGGATGCCCAGGTGAGATTCTGAGTGAAGTTGCTGGCGATTGGGGAGAGATTGAAACCGCTACATGACTCTAAAAAAATGAAACAGAAAGGAACAAAGACAGTAAAAATGATAGGGTCGAGGCTCATAGCATGTTTTCAGCGGTAAACAGCTCCATTGGAGCGTGCCGCTTCCGGAGAGAGAGCAAACAGCTTAAAGAAGAGCTAAAAGCTCCTATGTTGTTACTGGAGATGTTTAAACTCATTTTATGAGTTTTCTTCATTCACTTTTGGACAGCTTGGTTTGGATGGCTACGGAGGTCCAATCTTTTTACAAGACATCCGGTGCACGGGAGCCGAGGAATCTCTGGATCGGTGCCAGCGCAGTGAGTGGTCAGCTCACACATGTGACCACTCTATGGACGTGTCGGTGCTCTGCCAGCAAGGTAACCACTTCTGCTCTCTAAGGGCGTTTTCGAGACGAGTGGATTCGGCTTAGACTTCGGTTTCGCTGGTTCCTGTCAGAGTTTGAACATGTGGTTTAGAACGCCGCTTCAAAACGGATGGAGCCAGCGAGACCAAAGTCTAAGCCGAATCCACTCGTTTCGAAAACGCCCTAAGTTATCACTTATCCCATAGACCAAAGTTTACATTTTACAAAATAAGCAAATCATTGTCGATAACTTACTTTTATATTCCCATGGCAGACGCTCATAGAGCACAGGGGCGCTAACAAGTTATTGACCAATTAATACGACTGCCCCAGGTAAGCTCTTGGCAAAGTCGCCATCTGTGCCGTCATACATGTGCCTGTTCATTGGCAGAACACATTTGACCAGCACACAGTCAGGCATTGGCAAAGCATGCGTAGATAGGAACGAAGCCAATTTGATCAACCAACATGATCCCATAAATTCCGAGGAAAAACATAAGCTTCGGTTTTTCCGTAGATGTTGATCTAAAGCGTAGCAATTACTGCTCTTTTCCCTTTTCATTTATAGAAATCCCCCCAACTGTCAAACCCACATCCTCCAGTGGAGGTAGCCATCCATTTGGGCCTGTCCCTCTAACCGTGCTAGGCACGACCATCGCCGCTGCCACTGCAAGGCTTGCTTTTTAAATTTACCAGGAATGGATTTTGGGCAAAACTGGTACCGATCAAAGCACCTTTTTTTGAAGAATATTTAACCCGAGAGGAGCACACAAACGGGATGACTGAATAGGGCAACACTCTTTTTCTTTGGGTTTGAGTAGAATGTTGGATCCTCGCAAAAGGAACAATCATAACGTAGGAAAAATGACTTTTGAGACAACTATTGGAAATGGTAATTGCTCTACTTAACAGAACGTGTCTTCCGCTTAAAGAGAGTAGTTTTCTGATAAGGTTCGCTTCAATATTTTGCATGCTCTTGCAACACGTAGCAAAAGTTCGCTAGTATTATGTACACTATGCCTTTTCACCGACCCAAACGATCTTGGTATTGTTGCCAGGTATAGGTATATACCCTTACGGATCCTCCACTGCGCAAAAGGGCGTATCAAAGGCAATACCCAAGGTCTTCCTTCCTAACTTGTACAAAATCCACCATGACCTGGAGGATTTCCCTAAGGAGTTCCGGGAGAGGGCCAGGGGTAATTAGGCCTACTTACACTTTCATACGTTTATGCAAAGCGGTGACAGTCACTCCCACCGGTTTAAGCAGCCATCACCGGAACTTTTTGACACAGTTGTATAAGTTATTAGCCTTACCCTTGCTTTGAAAACCATCCGATCAAGGAACAGTGGCGCTTTGCGCTGAATTATATGTAAGTACAACGAAAGACCGTTTAATCAGCTGTCACGCGACTCTCATTTCTCCCCTCGACTTTAGTATCTGCCCCGAGACGCATGTGCAATGGTGGGCTTCTGTTGATAACTGATTAGAGAATACGTAATACGGCTAGGTTAAGTGATACTGCTAACTGAGTTAACTGGATGGTGTTCCATTTTCTGGGCAGACGACAAGACGTCTGCATGTTTGTATTTAAAACGTCTGAAAGTGTTCCGTGCACATTTCATTTGAACGTTAGTTTTGTACAATACACCGTTCGATTTCTCTCATGTCATGGAATCCAACTGTATATATCTGAAGTTATCGTTGCAGTCTGTGTGCTGCTTAGCCAGCTGTTTAATGTTTATTTCTTTCCAAACCACCAGCTCTGAAGTATATTAAAAACTAATCCAATTCCAGCAAAGTTTATGCTCAGTTTATGTCATGCCCCGACGTAATAATGAGCTAATTAATGGCAATTACGAAGAGTTGTTACAATATAGATGACATTTAATTCATTATCTATTTAATGGAGTGGCACCAGACTACAAAACGTTCATTTTTAAAAGTGTAGCTTAAGACAGATCATTTACTACAAATTCTAAATTATTCTTAGCAAAATTTTTGGACTTTTATTTCGTCACTGTTATTTCAACACTCATGTTCCCAAAATTTCAAAAAAATGCCTCATTTTCAATTCAAGATGGCCGACACAAAAAGTCATTGAATGAATGCATTCTACTCGGTATCATACTTCGGGGCATGCAGCAGGTCCTCTGACCACAGTATTTGCACTTGTGCTACACCCTGTCCTTCCTTGATGTGCTATATGAATGGCTAAATAAATAAATAATAATATTAATATTAATAATAATACTTCCATGTTTGTTTTGTTCTCATCTTCACTCTTTTTTTAGATAGAGGAGAGAGAGTGACGTCCTGAAAGACATTGGGTCGTATGAATAAAAAGTAGCATTTGCTTTACTACCATTTTGAAGCATTTACTCTTGTGTGTATGAATGATAACAACACAAACACTTTTACTTTAGTGCAATTGCTAAAAGGTAAGCTTGTGCTTGACAATAAGCAGTTGCTTCATTTTGTATCAATAAAAATGAGTACGTTCTACAGAAGTGGGGTATTTACTTGACACCTTTCAAGGCTGAGTCAGGGCAAGCTTGAAAACGAGGAGCATTTACTATAATGTTCAAAATGGCAGCGTTCATGAATGTCTTTCGAAAGAAAAGCTGTATGCCTTTAGAAGGGGATCTCAAGAAACCAGATGCAGGCAGTTGTACCGATGTGAGAGTGGCAGAGCAATTTTCTTCATCAAGGTTTTTGCTAGCAAAATTACTGCCATAGTGCTTATCTGCCATGCTGAGATCTTGAGACACAGCACCATGAAACACTGTATGTGCAGATAACGGAGGCCCTATTGTGCCCAACCATTCGGCTGTGCCGTCAGCCACAAGCATAATGCATTTGCTAATATTTATAATAGTAGATGCTGAACAGTAAAAGAAACATTTTATTCATAAAAATTTCAAGCCTTTGCTTATTCGTAATGGTTTTACTTCTCAGTAAATGCTTTTGCTGTTTGCTTGAACTTCGTCGCATTTGCTAGTCTTTATTCATACGACCCATTAGTTTACAGCTGCTCGTCTTTCATTCAATTCGATTCAACTGTTTAGAGTCAACAGTTACACGTCTTCATTTTTCAGCTGAAGAAAAAAATAGCCATCCGGGAAAAGCACCCAAAATAACAGCTGATTTCCGGTATTTCAAACAACCGCTTTATAGAAAACGTAACCTGATACCTTGCACGATATGGGGCCGATGGGTACCCCCAACATGTCCAGGCCCTAGACACACTCTAGACTATTTTTACCTAACACATCCCCCAGAAGTCTGTAAAGAATTCCTGAGATTCCAATTAAACAATGACCAACACAAAGGCGGGGGGGTTCTCTCCGCCCCACATCTTGCATTATATGTGAAATTTAATCTGCACAAGCCTTTTCACGTGAATAAAAGATCAACTTAAGATGTCTAGCCAGTTTCCGCAGAGTGCCACGACTTGCAGAAAAAGAAATAGGTCCAGCGGGCCCTGTGAAACCACAATTGAAGGAAAATGATACGAACAGAGTTGGGCTAAATTACCACAGTTGTACCAGATGAAGTCCAATTTACTCAATGAATGCCATACATTCTACATATTCTTTGTATTCTCCGTTTCACAGCGTTTTACTTGTGCCACTTGGTGGCGCTATACATTTGTTCTGTTCTGCTGGACGGCGCCAGACGACCGAATTGCTCTGTCGGACAGACCAACCGGGACTGAACTCGTTCTCCCCGTTAACTCGTAACAGCGCCCCCAATTCTAATATCCAGCTTCGTTGCAGTGGCCCACCGATGCTCAAATGTCATTGTCAGTTCATTCTGTAGGGGAAGGCTGTTTCTTCAGATTGTGTTCATTCCTATTTTTTGAAAAATTGAATTTTGGAGTTGTTGGGATAAATTCAGAATTTTTGGGGGTTGTTGAAATAAATTCAGGATATAGTATCACAAATTTACTCGTCACATTCAAAATATTGTCTCCAACCTTACAATTAAAGGCACTTGAACGCGCCATATATCAAAGGGACATGTTACGTCAGGGATCTTCAACTACTCTACGTATTACGGCTTCCTTGCTTTCTTCTTTGATCACCTTGTTTGCATTATCTGTCTTTCCTTAATTGTTGGATTATCATTTATTTGGATTTGTCTATTTAAACATTGAGGTAGGAACTCCGTGGTCTAAAGGTTAGGAAACTCTCCCCCCCCCATCCTATAGGTTACCTCAAATGTCATTTTTTTGTCTGGTTTTCAATGTGTTTTTTATGTTTCTATTCCATTTTTGATGACTCTGAGATAAATGTTACACGTCAAAGAGAGGGGCCCTTGGGAAATTCCAACGAACCAATGGAGAGTGGAACAGGTGTATGCAAAGTCTCAGTTGCAGCGATTTTCAGCCACTCGCTATATCACTTAAAATTACAGTCAAATCATAACAAGCGAAAGTGCTCAGCAGGTGCCGTGCAGCATCAAATTTAAATTCTGTCAAGACTCGATGCTTTCCTGTTGCGTATGGTTACAAAGCATCCAGGCGCTGGAAGTCCATAGGGTTCGCATTTCAAGAGAGTAAATGTATCATGTGATACCAGAATGCCGCCCTCAGTGATCCCACAAACATGAATGGTTGCACGAGTGCCACTTTGCGTGCTTCCTGATACTGACCGACCTGGGTTTTTTAGGGGATGTCATAATGGCGTTTTGTGTAGGTCTACGTCGTATTTTTGGCCCTTCTATAGGCGTGAAATAAGACACGGGGAACACGACTAACACAGAATAGTTGGCTAATTTGGGGGGGTGTATTGTTTTTCCCCATCCTGTTATTTCGCTGTCTTAACTGCGCGCTACATCAGATGAAGATTTTTAAGAAATACTCACCTTCCTTGACTGGAAATGTTTGCTTTATTCCAGGAACTGATCCACGACGTTACTATTTCTGACAAGTCCGCTACTGTTCTGTTTTGTTTTGTTTTTCAAAATAACAGTTTTTGTTCTTTTAGGACTCTGTTTTGAGCTATGACAAAAAAAGCAAATCTTGCCTTGTCACAAATGTAATCACACCACCAGACACAGCTACTCTTTAAAGTACCGCTTTTTCATAGATAGGAAAAACAGACTAGTTTCTACTCAAAAAAAGAGAAAGGGTGAACTCTATTAAGACGTCGACGCACAGTGCGAATTTCGTGTCCCACCCCCAATTATCTGTGATTGTGTGTAGAGGGCGCGCTCTTCGAGACCACTGTTATGAACACGCAGAAAGACATTAACCGAAAAGTAAAATTCCATTATTTTGTACTCAGTATTTCTAACCAGTGCGACCTTTCCCCTGTACTTCCTTTTGTTCTCGTGTATTACACATTGAGGCACGTTCTAGAACTGTTTACAGGAAGGATCTTCAGTGCAGAATGACATTGCGGTTTTTCTGTGCTTTTCCATCCTCATTGCGAATGCAATAAATGGACGTGCGCGTGACAAGGACTTTTAGATATTCATGTAGCCTTCTTGTTTCCTTAATTCCCCTCATTTGCAAGGACTGTTTCGACTTGATGAATGGGTGGCGAACAAGGATCCCCCTCCCCCCAAAATATATATCCTCAGTGTGCACACGGATCTCGAAACAAGAAACAGTATTTTAACAGTATTCTGTCTTTTGGGGGATCGTTTCACAGATTTGGGCGGCTGTTTTTAGGGGAAATAATACTACTGCTTGTACAAAGGGCTACTGTTCGTAGGTTTCAACGTACACGAATGCGCGATTTTCGACCTTTGATGAAGCGACGACTCGTGTTCAGAGCACCGAATGAACTCCTCACGACGGTCTTGGTCTCCTTGAGGACCGTGTACGGACCCTGATTTCGTCGGCTCGCGTCGGTGATGTTTCACCGTGGGGTACGTGGGGCTGCGTGCTGTGAGTGCACGAGGCGCGAGGCACTGGTCTCTCTCTCTACCTTTTCCACGTGATTACACCGAACAAGGTCTCCCACGCCAGAGCTTGCAATCAAAACACACAAAGGCCGCGCGCGCGCCCAGTAATCTCCCTCAATATTGCCATGATTAACGGTGATGATATATAATAAACATTGCTCAGCCGAGCGCGGCTTAAAACGTCCATCCGTTTCTGTTGCAATTTTCGAAAGTTTAATTTGCCTCTGCGCTTGTTTCTCCCGCCCTTCGAATTAGACGGTTAATTTGGCGCCAAAATAAGAAAAGGAGGAAAAGAGGAGGGAAGAGAACCAGGGCTGTTTCGGCCTGAGCGCCCGTTTAATGTTGTCGTGTTTTCAGTCGGCGCACATGCCGGCTTATTTGGATAACCTACCTTGCCAGCACCCGTTATTCCGCCGTGCTGCTCGGCAAAACGGTGGAAAGGTTGGGCGTGTCTGCCAAGTTCTGGCAATGCGCATTTAAGTAACTGAGGGGGTGGTGATGTTGAGGGGGGATTCGAAGAGGTTGGGGCTAGCCTTGTTGCTGAGTTCCGAATACTTAGGATGGAAAGGGAGAGAGCTATACGGTTTCTATCCGTGGGTCCAAAATAATGAAAAGTCAAGTTCATTAATCTTAGAACTAGAAGCCCACTACCTCAGCCAGCACACAGATTTTCCTTCACGACTGAAAAATGTGCAGAACTGAGAAAAATGGTGAGTTATTTTACGCCTCGGACTCTAGGAAGAGATGCTGATTCATTCGACCTCATCCAGTACACCATTAAGAAATATAATAAAATGATTAAAGAAAACTTAAGGCTTAGGAAATGCGACGAAAACTAAACAAACAATGTGCTCAACAGAACAAGAGTAAACGTGCTGATTGCAACGCCTCCAAAGTACTTTTAAGCCACGCCCTTTCTGCCAGAAGAGTTGTGTGTACTTTGTTTCGAACAGTCTTACCTGGAAAATAATTTGAAGATGTAAAGATGATTTAGGTCGTTATGAAATACTTCCAAAAGATTGAAGCTCCATAATCTGAAGGTGCATAAATGCAAGGACAACCAAATTACTGGATAATCCAAGCCGGCTGATTATACGGGCTGATTAATCAAAGTTATGCAAAAAACTTTTGCCTAATTTGGAAATGATGGGTTGCAGGTAATTTCAATGACAGAGCATAACATTTGTTTTAAATCTCAGTAGTTATTATACTATCGACTCAGTAATAATATGTGGGTCTAAAAAGTTCAATTTCTTCCTGGCGTTACCGCTGTTCACGCAGTTTTTTATCAGAAAATCATCAATTCCCATAATCCCCCGTCCAAATATTTTGGCTCAAGGAAACCATTGATTTGGTAGGTCCAGTTGTCTACATAGTTACATCTGCGTGGTTAAAGGAAGAAGG